TAAGTGAGATTAGCGGCAACCACGCTGGCGATGCTAACGGGCTATATGCTAATAGCGGACTCGGGAAGTCAAAATAGAACTAGTGATAACAAGGCGCTCTGATTGTTTTTGTTGTAGAATACGATAGGGGATATATTCACACGTTATAGAAACGAAAATGATGGTGTATAAAATTGATTTTAAGATTAAAAAAATAGACGATAAAGAATTAACTTGACGGAGCTCAAACTCAAAACACACGGCAGCAACAAACACTTTCCTTCCAAGGCATTACAATTGTCACATAATTTGGTTTTATATTTCAAGACCGAAAACAAGGCACATGTCTTTGAGGGAGCAGTACAAAATTAAATTGAATAACGCAGATGATGGTTCTTATTTCTGTATGCCACTGTTCAGTGTGGTGGTCGTCATGGTAGCAGGTTTAACTTTTGCTATGGCTTGCGTGAGCAGTGCTGATGTAGGAGACATTGATAGAACGGCAACATAAGATCATTAGAACTCTTTGTGTTTTCTTTTAATGCAAGGGTGTTTTCCTTAGAGGTTTTATGGACTTTAATGAATACATAACTGCACTTTGAATGCAAAATCCTTTCGCATTTACCCTTTCAATTGAAAATAGCAGAATGAAACCTGTCTGCGTCACACTGATACAGAAACAGACGTGAGTGACCCACACATGTGCGTATGTGAGTGAGCAAGGCCAGGCTTGCCGGTTGTCCACCTGTCTTTCGGCCCCCGTGTTGATCTTCCCATCTCATCAGTGTTCTGATATGACTGGTGAACAAAGTGCATGATGGGGGAGGCATTTATAGACCCTCTGTGCATTTTGTTCCAGGAAAGAGGGGCAGAATGACTGCAGTAATGTAAATCCCTGTGTGTTTTACCCACTGCTCCAGTTTCCATTTGGCCTTAGGTCAGAGGTGTAAGCGCTCTTTATTTAGCCTCTCTTTCTCCTGAATGACACAGGCCTGTCCTCTGTCACATTGACCATGTGAGGATGCAGGACTTGAGGAAAGAACCTGCTTTCACCAACCTGGGAACGTATCAGTTGTCTTTCCAAACAGACACACAACTGACCAGCCTTCTGAGAAAGAGGCCTTCTCCAAGAAAACTTTTAAGATACAGTCTATGGATGGTCCTGCAGATTCGTCCTACCCCTTAGCCTTTTGATAATATTTAATATCTCGATTTATGTATTTCCTCCGAAATGGCTTATACTAGCTTTGATGTTAACTGCTAGCTTCCTCCTAAAACATTACTTTTTATTTTTTTTTACATTTTATTATTTTAAAACTAGATTTTGACCCAAAAAAAAAAAAACCTTTGTAACTTGGGTAAATTGTTTAATTCAAGAATATTTGTCTGACGTCAAGTTCAAAATGATCACTTTCACACTGTTGTTCCGTAATTGAACACAGGGAAGAATATTTTTTAATCAAATGAAACCCTGAATCAGAAATTTGAATCTATTTTCATAAATAGTTTAAACTGATCCATATAAATAATTGAACTTACCAACTCTATTATTATTTTTGCTATTTATGTTTAAATCAGAGTCTTATATCTGTTATACTCAAGAGATGAACCTTTTGTCCGAATATGTCTACTAATATGCCTAAATATGGCTACTAATATGCCTGTGTGAAAAATGGTATCTGAAAAGAGTCTTTAGTTTGAATACCCTGTAGTAATGCACAATATGAGATTTTTGCCGATATCCCGATATTTTTCAAATCATTTGTTAACCAGTGCCGATATTTATATTTTGTTTTGAAACAACACAAAGTCTCTCCTGTGCAGAAATTATAAACAAATAATTTTTTTGTTAGTTTTGAGCAAAAATTAATAACTAATAACTATTAAACATTATTAACTAAGAACTAATAAACATTATTAAAGTTCTTTTTTTTAATGAGAGTACATTTAAAGCTTTGAAATGTTTATTTTTTTTGTTAGATAGATGCAGTTGAAACCTTAAATGTTGATTAACATTAATAGATGGTCTGAAGCAAAAAAGCTGTAAAAATTCTAAAAATCTTTTAGAGGTCCCTGTATTTCAGTTTTCATAATCTATTTGAAAAAATATATTACATATTACTGAATAAATCTGTATATATTATATTATTTAATTTACAAGTGTCATGTTTGTGATTTTTATTCATGGAAGCTATAGCTTCTGACCTTTTAAATCAAAACAGACTTGTGATTGTATGATATCAATTACTGCTTTATTTATTAAGAAACACAATTATCTTAATGTTATTTGTGTATTTTACTTGTCAAGCCCCCTAAGTATATGCTGATGTTTACATTTTAAGCCTTTATCGGCCGATTCCGATCACATTCCAAAAATATCGTGCATCCCTAATAGCCAGTTATAGTAGGTGAATAGTAGCTGAAAAGCATGACATTCATAGTGTTCATCTGATGAACACTTAGCCTAACTATCCCATGAGGCCACAAGAGAGAGAGTCATGGGTGGCGGAGAAGTGATGCAGCTGACATCGTAAGTCAAATGACAATGCAAATTAATTGCATTCATACTACAAACACACATGCTGCCGTATAGAACTTACTTTTTTTTAAGTCTTGCAGCAAGTTCTTCATCAAATGTACTACCTGCTCTGACAGTATGTGATTTTGGACACATGAAATCGTGATGTTAAGTTACTCACCTGCGAAATCATTTCAAATAGTCCTGTATATTGAATATTCCTTATATACTTTCTAGTCTCATATTCGACTTGTATCTCTCTGAAAGAAGTGGCTCAGTACCCAGCCCTCCCCTCTCATTTCCACTGAATAATAGATGAATTCTGTGAGATTAGCCGGTGTCCCAGAGGTGCTGCGGGGGGATTTACTCATTGCAGGGGGCTCAAACGTCCTCGACTGCAGAGAGCCTCATGCTTAATTAGACCATTGACTTTTTATGTATAATCCACACCTCTTTCCCTTCTTTCATCCATCCACCCATGCATTAAAGAGGGAAAAACACCACATTTCTCTATTTCTGGGCTGATGGGTCATTTTTGTTGCAACAGGAAAGGTTGTTATGTTGTTGTTTGGATTGTTGCTAAGACAGCAGCGTGTGCATCCCATTCGTCAGTCTCTTTCTCTTTTTTTCCGCCCACCCAGCCAACTGACCTCGCCACCCTGCGCTCTGCCGGTGGAATGTGTTCGTCTGGATCGAATCAAGGCCTGAACACGCTCGGGGGGGCCCTGCCGGCCAACTCCGAGTCAGTTGAGGGGACTGCAGCAGCAGCCGGCTTTCTGATACCTATAAATATTCTACAGTAGATTCCTGCGTTCCCACAGCCTTTTGGGTCGCTCACTCCCAGGCTTAGCATTCTGATGGTGTGGTGGTGTTGAGACGAGGGTCGGGCTGAAGGTTTGGGACACGCCAAATACCAGACAAGCCTTTAGATTCCTGTTTATTAAGACTGCAGGGATATGTAGCAACCTACTGGGAGGACAGCATGTGTGTAATCTGTCAGTGCAAACAGGATTAAATTTGATTTGAACCTTGCGTGAACAGAAACAAATGGATGAATTATGGGTAGTCACATGCAACAGGTGGACCTGCTGATCCCACACAAAGACATTTTTGAGTCATCATTTATTTTTAATTTTTTACATAGGCCCTGCTGAGGTGAATGTGTCCGCTCTCTCAATTGTTGAAAACAAAAATAGCCCCCAAACAAGTGTTTTACAGTGGTGGTGGAGCAGTTATGCACATGTGACTCTTTCATTTCTCATTGCACAGACATTTCATTCAATCAGATGAATGGAAATGTTGGACATTTTAAATGTTGGTTTAGCTACAGTGGTGATTTGTGGCTTTTTGGAGGCTGACTCAATCTCTGTCGTTTGATCATATATGGTGTTGTTGATATTTGGTAATAGTTTAGACTAGAGCCATTAATAATGATTGTGTGCAGGTGAGCAGTTCACTTTGCATAAAACACTATCACAGTCTAACAGTGATGGATTCAGTTTCTCAGCTATTAATGAGATCCAGGCATTGTTTTTTTTAGCATTATTTACTATTATAAAATGTATTAATATTTTAAATGGACTTTTATGGTTATAATTTCAGGTTTCATTTTAGTTTTTATTAAGTTTAGTTTTTTTATATTTCTATTTTGCTTTAATTTTTTTCTCTTTTTATGTTTAGTAATTTTAGTATGTCAACTTAAACTTATTCGTTTTAGTTGACATGGCAACATTTCTGAAGTTCTAAAGAAATCTAAAGTTTTTCATCAGATATTTGTATTTTATTTTATTTCACATTTGTTTAACTTTTTTTTTTGTCATTAAGGGTGCTATTTAATGCTCTATTATTGTACCGTCTGTTACAATTGGTTTGTTAACTGTTGTGTGTTTGTTTCATAGCAGATTTGAATGCTTACACTCAGCTTTTTTCTTTACTTTGAATTTTGAGTACACATTGTTTTAATTATTTAATTATACTGTTATTTCATTATTTTCAATAGTTAGATTTTCATTATTTTCAATCATTAAACACAGAACTGTAGTGAAAATTGTTTCATTTATAATAAAAATAAATTATTTAATTACAAATTTATCACCATAAGTCTAATTAATTAAAAGTATGTCAGCCATCTTGCCACCTTGCACTTGATCAGTCACTAGGTGTGTCCTCTAAAGCCATAGTATGTAACCCTTCTGGATATAATTTCTAAAAACTGACATGCTGTTTTTGTGTGAAAAAAAATATCACACTGATTTTTCCCTGTCTTTTGCAGCTATTTTGAACCCCAAGAACCCAAAGGAACCACCAAAATCCTTCAGCTTCGACTACTCGTACTGGTCTCACACCTCAGTAAGTCTCATTTTCTCTCTCTTTCTCCTTCTGTCCTTTTCCTGCTCTTTCTACTTTTTCCGCTGAGCTGGCTCAGTGGACAAAAAATGTGCATGTGGTCAGATTTACAGCTGTAATTAATCATTCCCTAAAATAAAGCCTGTATTAAGGTGTTTTGTTCTCTTTTCTTAATTTCTCTGCTAGCCGGACGACCCCAGCTTTGCGTCACAAAGCCTTGTGTTCAATGACATCGGGAAGGAGATGTTGCAGCATGCTTTTGAGGGATATAACGTCTGTATTTTCGCCTACGGCCAGACCGGAGCTGGCAAGTCCTACACCATGATGGGAAAGCAAGAGGAAGGACAGGAAGGCATTATTCCTCAGGTATGTATGTAATATCGCAGTATATGTATCACCTTAATGGATCCAAAGTAAAAAACATGCTTAAGAGCTCAGCAGCGACTGAGATGTTTCTGATCTCAAAAGCAGACATTGCCAGAAGACATTAAGACATTAGCGCTCCGTCTAGCACGTCCGGCAGGGGTAGAGTTATTTGTGCTCTGTATCGATCGCTCTCTCTCTCCTCCCTAATGTGCTCTTTTTGTCCCCCTCCCAGCTCTGTGAAGACCTCTTTGAGAAAATCAATGACAATAACAACGAGGAGATCTCGTACTCGGTGGAGGTGAGCAACAAACACATCATGACTCCTCGGTACATTCCTGTGACTCACTTCACACACTCTCCATCTGTTGAAATGCTGTTTTTGTTGTGTTACCTCACTGCTTACTAACTCAGCAATGGGGGGTGATGGGCTTGTTCAGAGCCTACTCAAATGTTCAATAATTGAGAGCTAGTTATATCTCATTTTTATGTGCTCATTGTAGGTGGCTTATATGGAGATATACTGTGAGCGGGTGAGGGACCTGCTAAACCCTAAGAATAAAGGGAACCTGCGTGTCAGGGAACATCCTCTACTTGGGCCGTATGTTGAAGACCTCTCAAAACTGGCTGTCACCTCTTACACAGACATAGCTGACCTCATGGATGCTGGTAACAAAGCCAGGTGAGAGAGAAGAAAACTTGTTGTACTTATAAGGGGTTTTTTCCCACTTTGGGTGCTGCTGTTGAAGGATAGTGGTTAGATTTTTTTTGTCAAGGGGGAAATGGAAAAGTGTTGTTTCATCCAGTGATACTCTGACTGATAGTCATGTGTAAATGTAACTCTTGGAAGGAGTAACACGCTTCTAATCCTCCCGTGCTGATTCCCAGGGTTTATTTGTGGAGAATGTGACGTGTAAAGCCTGTTTCTCTCAAGAGCATCCCACCCAGTGTCATATCCGGCACATGAGCTGCGTTGATGTCTTATTCCTGCACTTACTAGCACTTTCCAGGATTATTCTCTCACACTCTGGTGATAAGCATCTAGAGCGGTCTATGAACTTCCAAAGCAGCCTTTCAACCTTTTTCAGGCCAATAAAGAGATTATTGGTGGATAAAGAGAAAAGGACAGGCCTGAAATAGCATGTAATACCATATTAATGTATTTCTATACATTTTTGTGTTATGATTCTTATGTTGCAAATCTATTCAAATAATCGTTCTTGATATTTTAATTGTACTTTTAATGTGAGACGGACAATGGAAGATTTTACTGAATTCCAGTTTTTAACTATAATGATATTTTTGTTTAATGCGTATTTTTATTTATTACTTTATTATTATTATTTATGTTTCATTTATTTTATTTATTTATTATTTTCTTTTTAAACATATTTTTGTTTAATGCATAATTAATTTTTTTTCCTCACAAGTTTACTTTGACATCATGGTTCAATCTTTATTCTTGTATTTTTGTTATTCATATTTTTATTTATTTTATATTTTGTTTATTTATTCTTCACAAAATTACTTTTGAGTTCAGCATTGACCCCCATTAAAAACCCTAGTTTTATAGTATGCAGCTTTACACAGATGTTAAAAATAAAGTCAAGAAATGTAAGAAAATACTATTACATTATGTAATATCCATTAATATACATTGTATATAATTATACATTTGTTTTACTCATTTAATTATATGTATGTGACACCTATGACGCTCATTTTGCTCTCTGTATCTGCAGAACTGTTGCCGCCACCAACATGAATGAGACGAGCAGCCGCTCTCATGCAGTCTTCACTATCGTTTTCACCCAGAGGAAGTATGACAGCGAGACAGACCTGTCTACAGAGAAGGTTGGATATTTTACACCCATCCACAGCCATTATGACATGTCACCGAGCTCAGATTTGTCCTGCAACCCAAAGTCAGCAAATCCTGTACCAAGTAGAAAGGAAAACAGAGAAAAAGGGACCCGTCCCACTCATCCTGTGTTTGTGGGGCTCATTGTGTAATTGCTGCAGACACAAAGACCGCTCTATGAGGTCCACAGGCACAATGGCTATTGTACAGAGCTACTACATTAGATTCACTACACAGGTCTCGCCTCAGCCCTTGCTCTAATATTAGTCATCTAGTTTGGCAGCGGAATCGCTGGCCAAAACTCAAGCACGGCAAAATGAAAAGATAACCCAAGCATCCTTTAGCAAAATTAGTTGTGCATGCATGCGCCAATGATTTTACAAGTACCCTAAAATGATTGGATGATTGAATTATTTAGTTAAACAAGTGCTTTCTGAATCAGTTTGATTGAATCATCAGAACGATTCATTTGGACAAGGCAGAAATACCTACAGTATATGATGCTATTGCTAATAGTCTTATGGGAAACAAAAGACTCCCACATACATAGTATGCCATACTGAAGAGTTTTTTAGTGTGTGTTGATCAGTCTAAAAGTATCTCTGCTGTCTGGTTTCAGGTCAGCAAAATCAGCCTGGTGGATCTGGCAGGAAGTGAGCGTGCTGACTCAACAGGGGCCAAAGGAACCAGACTGAAGGTACAGACTAATTTTACAGCCTCTCTCGAACTCCACCAACACCTGCCATATGTAAAAGTGACTGCAGTCTCCTCCACATGCCGCAAATATTCTGGGAATGTGACCTGCATGACAGAACATAAAACACTCAAAACAAAAATATGCATCACAGCTATTTTTATTCCTTTAAGGGTTTGTTTGTTTGTTTTAATTGCAAACATATTTTAAGCTGAAATGTATTCATTTAGATGTAATCATAAAACTGACTATTCACCTGTTTGTGCTTCTTAGGAGGGAGCAAACATCAATAAATCTTTAACTACACTAGGAAAGGTTATTTCAGCGCTGGCTGAGGTGGTGAGTAGTGTTCAATACCTGTCTCGCTCTCTGCCTGTTTGCTTGCATGTCTTCAGTACTATAACTCTGTGTGCTGTCTGTCTCTCTCCTGGCAATGCTTCCCTTCCCAGGATAACTGTACCAGCAAGGTAATCTTTCCCGGTTTACGGTCACTAACCACTGAACCGTCTCTATCTAAACCTATCAACCTTTATCCATGTAACCTTTTGTCTTAAAAAGTGTCTTATTCTAGTCTTGATGTCTCATACATCAAGTCATTTCCTGAACCCCCTTCATTATTACAGCAGTAGCTATATTTACCTGCTATATTTCAACATGTTTTACTGGCTGTTTTGAAATAGAGCAAGAAGAAAAAGAAGACAGACTTCATTCCTTACCGAGACTCAGTTTTGACATGGCTGCTAAGAGAGAATTTAGGTATGGACGATGATCCATAATGATTATAAATGATTGTATCAACTATGTTGCATGGGTATTATAAACCAGCATTTAAAAATAGAACTGACTGTATTCCAAAATAATTCAACAGTTCTCTATGTAATATGATAGGACTCTTAAAGGAGTAGGTCACCCACTTCATTATTTAAAACAAAAATATTTTATTAGATTTTTTTCTTTTCTTTTTATCTTGACAGACCCAATCCTTATTCACTGAATTTTTGTTTTTGGGTGAACTATTCCTCTAAATATTATCTATATTCAACAGATTTAATTAAAATGTTCTCATACAATGCCAACCAATACCTATTAAATGAAAATATTGCAGAGGTTTAGCATTTAAAATGAATTTTAACCATTTAAAACAAAAGAAAATTACACTTGTGCTTTCTTTAATGGTCTGTGGAAGGTGCATCCTTTAAACTCATTGGCCTGTCTTGGATCAATACTCCAGTCGAAAGAAACTGCATTACTTGGTGTTTCTAATTGTTTGCGTAATTGTGCTCGTCCACCAGGAGGGAACTCGAGGACAGCTATGGTGGCCGCCCTGAGTCCTGCTGACATTAACTATGATGAAACTCTTAGCACACTCCGGTAAGAATTCACGTCCTACTCCCACTTCCCATTAAACAGTGTGTCTTCCATTCTTAGATGGTCTTGATTTTGATAAGGGGACTCTTGTGATCTCAATGGCTGTTTGGATCATTGTCATTGTTTGCTCATTCACAGATATGCAGACAGAGCCAAGCAGATTAAGTGCAATGCAGTCATCAACGAGGACCCCAACGCCAAACTGGTGCGGGAGCTGAAGGACGAGGTGACGCGTCTAAAGGAGCTGCTCCATGCCCAGGGCCTTGGGGACATTCTGGACAGTAAGTCGAGGCACATCGCCCCCCAATGGCTACTTCTATACATGCCCAATTGCCAGGCAAATAGGAGGTCACTTACTGTGCTCACAAGTGGCAAATTCTTCAGCTCTGATCTAATGCTGCATTCTCGCCCAGTCTGCATTGTCTTCATGTTGTTCCTTCTACGTCTTAATTTAACCGTTTCATCAACATGTGATGGAGATTAGGGATATGATGGATAGAAATCACAATACTGTTTTCCAAAATCCAAGTCCAGGAGTGTTTCCATCTCATGTTTGTCTTCACAATATTTTGTCTAGTCAAATCTAACTGCCTCTGTCAGTCATTCGTCTACTAGTCCTCTCAACTCTGACCTTCTCCTGTTCTTCCTGCTTCCCTTCAGTCGAGCCAATGGGGGATGATTACCTTGGAAGTGGAAGCAAATGTGTGTATATGCTTGACGGGGCCGCATCCTCTCGCTCTTCCCTTTTGTTACCAGTAGCTTATTCACTGCTTCTGGAATACAAACGTGTCGGCTTTGCATGCCTCAGTTTTTTGTTTTTTTTACTGCAAGGAATCCCAGACATACAACAGATAAATATGCAATTGACTAGATGGGTTAGATTGCCACTGGCAGGCTTTATGCTTGCTCTTACCCTAATTTGATTGACTGTCTGGCATGGTGCAGTCTTAATGGCAGGCTTTTCTCCAAATAAGCCCAACCCCATGCTAAAGCACGATAGATCAGATAGACTGCATCTGGAAGCACTTAAAGGGATCGTTCACCCCAAAATGAACATTTTGTTGTCATTAAATCTTTATTGTATTCTTTTGTGAAGCCCAAGAATGTTCTAGCTTTAGTTCCATACAAGGAAAGTTCATTTATACTTTGTGTAATGAACAAACCAAATAGATAATTTGCAATTAAAGGAAGAAAATCAGTTTTGGACTTCCTCAAAAAAAAATTTTGTATGACATTCTGCTGAATGTAAATTTGCTTAAGAAGAAAGAAGAAAAAATAGTTTACTTTAACAGACCAGTTATTCACAATAAAGAATATTAGTGAATAATAACTTAAATTTTGTTAATTGACTCAAATAATCTATTGTATGACATTCTGCTTAATGTCAAAGCTAAAAGTTTTATGGTTTGGAATGACGTGGGTGAATAAATGATAACAAGATGTTCATTTTTAGGTGAACTATCCCTTTCATATCAAATCTCCTTTAATCTTGTATTTTGCTGTTTAATTGTTATTGTCCTTTATTGTAAACTTCCTCTTTATTTTCTGCCTAGTTAGGTTTTATTGTGTCATTTAACTGTTCATTGCAGGTCACGATATTAATGAAGTTAAAACAATGACCTATCGGAGAAAAGGTGCATGTTTTCATAATCTTACAAATGCAGATTAGCAGTTGCAGTGGTAGTGTAAGAATACGTAGCTGCTTTAGTCCAAGTGCGTCTGAATCCTCTTCCTTCCCTGTTCTTCGTATCCTCTTACGCAAGCTCGGTGTACCTTTTCAAAAGCTGCAGAACCGAATCAGAGCTCAGGCGGCTATTTGCTTTTCTATCTGTCTGGGAGTTCTTGATATGCGCAGAGAGATGAACGCACACTGTGCTTTCTACCGCTACAACCATATGGCGCTGGGAAAGCAAACATTTTCACTTGACCAAAATGCTTGCCATGGTCTGTGTGCTAGCGGCCTCAATCGCATCATCTGATCGCATGAACAGTAATGTAATGCAGTGCTGTTACGCCGCCATGTTGGCCTAGTTGCTTCAGGAGAGTCTTTTCAGATAAAATCCAATAGAGTGAATATGCAGCAGAAAGCTCGACTGAACTGCGACAAAGCTCCCTGGGAGAGGTTTCGTAAGCACAGTCCCCTCCTAGTCATCCTTCACAGTTTTGAAGAGCTGTGTGGCAGCCAAACATTGACAGCATCATGACTTTAAGAGCGATGTGCCGCGTGGAAAAGACGTTTTATAGCTTATATCTGCAGCATGTTATCATACTGCTCTTCCAGCCCCCCCCAAGCCTCCTTCTCCTGGTTTGTGACCTTTATGCAATCCCTCCACCCCCATCTCTTCTCTCACATCTGAGAAGTGATGTCAGTTTTCACCCAGGTCAGAATCAAGTCAAACTGATTTATCACATTTAAAAGAACTTGTATAATTGACTGCACTGTTTGCAGGTCACATGTTGTTGAATATTACATAATTGATTAAATAATGCATGCTACTATTAAAAAACTGATGCCATTTATTGTCATAATGCTTAAAATAAGTGCATACTTCAAAAATCCTATTCTTAATTAGTGCCTTTCAAGTAAACTATTTACATTTAATCATTTAGCAGACACTCTTATCCAAAGTGACTGACAAATTAGGGTAATAGAAGTGTTGTGACAAGTCCTGTTTAGTCTAACGCAGAATACATAGCAAGTTTTTTTAATAATAATAATAATAATAATAAATAAAAAGAATAAAAGTAGATAGAAAAGAGATAGAATAGATCGTTTTAGAGGGTGAAGTTATTATTATTTTAATAATAATTAAAAAGAAAACAAGTAGAATAGAAAGAATTGAAAAAGAATAGAGAGCGCTAGTGTTAGAGGATAATTTGTTTTTCTTTAAAGAAAACAAGTAGATAAAATAGAAATAGAGAGTTAGTGATAGATTTTCAAGTAAAAACATTATTTAAAAAAATGATTGTTAATATTTTATATTCTTAAAATGTAATATTCTTATAACAAGTTAAATTGACCTAAAAAGCAAAATTGTATAAAATATTACCATCCAGATATTAAAATTTTAAATTCAGTGTTTTAAATATGACAGTTTCAAAAATAATATATACTGTTGTTAAATTATGCTTAAAACAAGTCAAATTTACCTAAGATGCAAAATTGTGTAGAACATTATCTACATATTAAAATATTATATAGTGTTTTAAAAATGACAACATTTTAAAATGCTATATACTGTAGTAAAATTAATATTCTTAAAACAACAAAAAAATTCCTATGAAGCAAAATTGTATCTATTCCGAGAATGTATCTTAAATTAAAAATCAACATGAAACTGCATCAAAGTTTATTTCCAAAATCTGATGCATTTCCAAATAAAATATAATATTAGAGACAAAAATGAATGATAAATGTTTAATTTAAGTGTATTTGTCTTGTTCCATTATTTTTTTCATTTGTTCATTTAAGCTATATTTAGTGAGGTTTACAACTAAAGAATTGCCAATTGCCAATGGAACAAGACAAAAATGCTGTTAAATTCAAGATGCATTCCCTGAAACAAGTCTTAACAGCTTGTTTTAAATATGACAGAATTGGATTTTTATATACTGTTGTTAAATTATGCTTAAAACAAGTCAAATTTACCTAAGATGCAAAATTGTGTAGAACATTATCTACATATTAAAATATTATATACAGTGTTTTAAAAATGACAACATTTTAAAATGCTATATACTGTAGTAAAATGTATATTCTTAAAACAACAAAAAAATTCCTATGAAGCAAAATTGTATCTATTCCGAGAATGTATCTTAAATTAAAAATCAACATGAAACTGCATCAAAGTTTATTTCCAAAATCTGATGCATTTCCAAATAAAATATAATATTAGAGACAAAAATGAATGATAAATGTTTAATTTAAGTGTATTTGTCTTGTTCCATTATTTTTTTCATTTGTTCATTTAAGCTATATTTAGTGAGGTTTACAACTAAAGAATTGCCAATTGCCAATGGAACAAGACAAAAATGCTGTTAAATTCAAGATGCATTCCCTGAAACAAGTCTTAACAGCTTGTTTTAAATATGACAGAATTGGATTTTTAAAGTAATGGGGATAGAAACCTGAGGTGAGAACTGTATCTGACTCTCTGACTGGCGTGTTTGTTGTAATCCTTTGTGAACTGTGTGTCTTACATTGGTCTTTCCTCCTCTTTGTCCTTTTTCTTCCTTCCTTTCTTTCTGTCTCCTGTACTCTCTCACATTTCTGCCTCCACCACTTTCGCGTCTTCCTCCTTGCGTCGCCTGTCTCTCCTGTGTGGCTCAGACCTGAAAGATATACACAACAATAAGCACAGATACTTGCTTGCCTCAGAGAACCAACGGCCTGGCCATTTCTCCACAGCACCTATGGGCTGCCTGACAGCCTCTCCGTCCTTAGGCTCTCTGTGCAGCCAGGCAGGGCTCCAGTCCGTCTCAAGCATCCAGGAGCGCATCATGTCCACGCCGGGCGGAGAAGAGGCCATCGAGAGGCTGAAGGTACACAGACAAGCATTTTCCAAACAAAAGAAGAGTCAAGGGCTTAAGTGAATAACCATTTCCGGGCGTCACAGAGGTTTCCTCTTGAATTAATCAAAACTAATTAGCTAACAATGTGTAAGAAGATAATGGAGGTGCTTCAGGCACCTGCTGACCTTTTGCATTCAAAATGTTCTACTCGTAATGATTTGCATGTTCTCATACATATGTATAAAAAGAAGTCCTGCTTTCCTACCCACCATTACAGACTCTCTGTAAATGAGTGAGATAATAAAGGAGGAAAAGAGAGAGAATAAGTAGATGTGGCTAGAGCTTCCAGGCATTAGTTTCCATGGTTACGGGCAGCAAGTGGCTCGCACCAGTGACGTCAACCTCCGATGCAGTTCGGCAGAAAATCAGACAGAAATAGACCTGGTCTTTTGTATCAGCCAAAAATATGGATGTATAATAAAATGTGAGAGCATCCTTGATCTCAGTCAATAACATAATCAGATGGAAGTCAGTTCACACACAAACCACTCACTACATGTCGCCTGTGATTCCCTGCATACAATCCTTTTCTTACTGGTCAATAGTTTGGAATAATTAGGCTTTTTAAAATGTTTTTGAAAGAAATAAATACAATAAAATTGTGAAATATTATAGTGATTTCCGAAGGATAGTGTGATGCTGAAAACTAAAGTAATGGCTGCTGAAAATTAGCTTTGCCATCACAGGAATAAATTACATTTTTAAAATATATTAGAACAAAAATCAGTTATTTTAAATTGTCATAATATTTCCCAGATTTTCTATATAAAATTATTCCAAAATTTTGACCAGTAGTGTATATGTATACACAGTGTTTGGGAGTAATTACATAATAAGTGTTACTGAGAAAATATGTAATTAAATTACAGTTACTTATGAAAATGTTAGATTACAAAGGGGGTTACATCTGAATATTTTCTCACACTTACAGATTTGATTGATTTCTTTCCCAAATTGCATTGACTGCTCTAAAATATGAGAAACCATTGTTTCAGGAGTTTAGGACACAGAATATGGCACATGCTTATTTGATAACCATTTAATTTCCTATTTGGGTTTATGTAAATGCTTTATTTTTTAAGATTAACAGTTTTTTCCAAAGCATTGTTAGATGCCAGTGTTTCCTGCTGTTAAATTCAAGATGCATTCCCTGAAACAAGTCTTAACAGCTTGTTTTAAATATGACAGAATTGGATTTTTAAAGTAATGGGGATAGAAACCTGAGGTGAGAACTGTATCTGACTCTCTGACTGGCGTGTTTGTTGTAATCCTTTGTGAACTGTGTGTCTTACATTGGTCTTTCCTCCTCTTTGTCCTTTTTCTTCCTTCCTTTCTTTCTGTCTCCTGTACTCTCTCACATTTCTGCCTCCACCACTTTCGCGTCTTCCTCCTTGCGTCGCCTGTCTCTCCTGTGTGGCTCAGACCTGAAAGATATACACAACAATAAGCACAGATACTTGCTTGCCTCAGAGAACCAACGGCCTGGCCATTTCTCCACAGCACCTATGGGCTGCCTGACAGCCTCTCCGTCCTTAGGCTCTCTGTGCAGCCAGGCAGGGCTCCAGTCCGTCTCAAGCATCCAGGAGCGCATCATGTCCACGCCGGGCGGAGAAGAGGCCATCGAGAGGCTGAAGGTACACAGACAAGCATTTTCCAAACAAAAGAAGAGTCAAGGGCTTAAGTGAATAACCATTTCCGGGCGTCACAGAGGTTTCCTCTTGAATTAATCAAAACTAATTAGCTAACAATGTGTAAGAAGATAATGGAGGTGCTTCAGGCACCTGCTGACCTTTTGCATTCAAAATGTTCTACTCGTAATGATTTGCATGTTCTCATACATATGTATAAAAAGAAGTCCTGCTTTCCTACCCACCATTACAGACTCTCTGTAAATGAGTGAGATAATAAAGGAGGAAAAGAGAGAGAATAAGTAGATGTGGCTAGAGCTTCCAGGCATTAGTTTCCATGGTTACGGGCAGCAAGTGGCTCGCACCAGTGACGTCAACCTCCGATGCAGTTCGGCAGAAAATCAGACAGAAATAGACCTGGTCTTTTGTATCAGCCAAAAATATGGATGTATAATAAAATGTGAGAGCATCCTTGATCTCAGTCAATAACATAATCAGATGGAAGTCAGTTCACACACAAACCACTCACTACATGTCGCCTGTGATTCCCTGCATACAATCCTTTTCTTACTGGTCAATAGTTTGGAATAATTAGGCTTTTTAAAATGTTTTTGAAAGAAATAAATACAATAAAATTGTGAAATATTATAGTGATTTCCGAAGGATAGTGTGATGCTGAAAACTAAAGTAATGGCTGCTGAAAATTAGCTTTGCCATCACAGGAATAAATTACATTTTTAAAATATATTAGAACAAAAATCAGTTATTTTAAATTGTCATAATATTTCCCAGATTTTCTATATAAAATTATTCCAAAATTTTGACCAGTAGTGTATATGTATACACAGTGTTTGGGAGTAATTACATAATAAGTGTTACTGAGAAAATATGTAATTAAATTACAGTTACTTATGAAAATGTTAGATTACAAAGGGGGTTACATCTGAATATTTTCTCACACTTACAGATTTGATTGATTTCTTTCCCAAATTGCATTGACTGCTCTAAAATATGAGAAACCATTGTTTCAGGAGTTTAGGACACAGAATATGGCACATGCTTATTTGATAACCATTTAATTTCCTATTTGGGTTTATGTAAATGCTTTATTTTTTAAGATTAACAGTTTTTTCCAAAGCATTGTTAGATGCCAGTGTTTCCCGTTTCATATGCAAAGATTTGATTTCAAAAACATGATTTCAAAATGATTAACATTTGAAAACATTTTTTTTTTTAGAAATTTACAAAAGCAATCAAAAAGTAATCAAATATAATCAGTTACATTACTTTAATAAAGTAATTAAAATAGTTACACTACTTATTACATTTTAAATAGGGTAACTTGTAATCCGTAACCTATTACATTTCCAAAGTAACCTTCCCAACACTATACACGGATCTAATATAATGATAATCCGGTCTTCCTAGTCCTCTGTGGTTATCAGGGTTTGTCAGAAGGATCAGCTCACAGGTTACTTTCTACATGAACAGATGGCAGGGGTGGTAACCCTTTAGGAAGGATCTAGAGGGAGCTTCCTCTAGATGTTACATGTACATGTTCCTGTGGCTCAGTGGTAGAGCATTGCGTTAGCAGTGCAAAAGGTCGTGGGTTCGATTCCCAGGGAACACACATACTGATAAAAAATGTATAGCCTGAATGCACTGTAAGTCGCTTTGGATAAAAGCGTCTGCTAAATGCATAAATAAATTAATTAATTAATTCTTTTAGGCCAGATGGTTCTGGTCTTCCTCCTGGACAAGGACAATAAGGGCCAGACACAATAGAGGAAAATGAGCGTTGGGCTTCCCGTATTTAACTGTGTTTACTGCTCTTGACCCCATGTCAGGCATTTGTCCCATTGCACGCAGACTTATGGTCTGGTTTTGCCCTTTTAGCTATAGGACCCTAAAATTTATGACCTTCCCACAACTTGCAATGTCTGACTTAACATATAGCAAAATGTGCTCCGACACTGAGAGCAGAATAAGCCTCTTAGTATTATGCACAGTTCATGCAGGTCACAATGGCAAGTGTGTGGAAATGGCAATCTGGAAATGTTTCTTGAGCACTATATCAGCATATTAGAACGATTTCTAAAGGATCATATGACACTGAAAATTCATCCATCAGATGTATAAATTATGTTTTAAAATACATTAACACCAAAATCAATTTTTTAAAATTGTAATAACATTTCACAATATTGTATTTTTACTAGTGCTGTCAAAACCGCATCCAAAATAAGTTTTTGTTCACATAATATATGTGTGTGTACTGTGTATATTTATTATGTGTATATATTAATACAAACACATGTATGTGTGTAGATGCGATAAATCGCGATTAATCATTTTGACACCACTAATTTTTACAGTATTTTTGATCAAATAAATGAATATTGGTGAAAAAATGACTTTTGAATGCTAGTGTAGATTATGTATATAGTCTGTCTATATTTGTGCCAGCAATATTTAGACATTTCAGGTCTTGTTTTATACCTCACAGCATATATTTCCCTTGAAATATCCCTCTTTGTCTGCCGTCCCGCAGGAGTCAGAGAAGATCATAGCCGAGCTGAATGAGACCTGGGAGGAGAAGCTGAGGAAGACTGAGGCCATCCGTATGGAGAGGTCAGTGAGGGTTTAGGTGCCATCTGGCTCCCTTCCTATTGTCTCTGTGCCCATACCCATCATGCCCATGAGGAGTGTCTTCTACGTGCCTGTATGCTCAGCTGGTGCCAGTCTGTACCAAACTTAAGCAGCTGTCAAATCGCACATAACACACTGACCTCAACACTAACATGCACATTCATATATTCAAGAAATATTTTCCAGATGTCTTTAGAGCTAACTGCTAAGGTGTTGAATGTAATGTCATTCAGTATGGGCCTGATGTTTTCCTTCCCTCCCCTCAGAGAGGCGCTGCTGGCAGAGATGGGAGTGGCCATACGGGAGGATGGGGGAACCCTGGGTGTCTTCTCTCCTAAAAAGGTACAACACATGTAAACTCCTCTTCATCATTAATCACCGTTACTGTCTGCACCAGTCACCTCCTTCTCATGTCTGGGCCTTTCTTTCTTCGTATTTCATCATCCATCATTCTTCTTCCATTCCTTTTTTTTCTTTTATCTTTTGTTTTGCTCGCCTCTTGCAATGGAATCCTATTAGTTTGGTCCTGATAGACCAACGTCACTGTCTATTGAGGACTTTAGTGTTTATTCTTCTAATCATGTTTGTAGAATTAAAGTTTATTTTTCCCATTTGCATTTTTTAATTCCTTCCAAAAAATAAATAAATAATTAAATAAAAATAGTTCATTTAGCAAGCCATAGTTGTGTATGACTAAATACTAGTTAATAATATTTTCCCACATCACACTTAATTTAATTTTATGTACAGATTATGTACTGCGTGCTATAGTGTTTCCTGCATCAGCATGCAACGTGACCGATTTTGACAGATTCAAAAACGAATGACTCTCATGAGTCTAAACAATCAGTTCTTTTAATAAATAGGACAAGAAGTTTTCGCCTTTTGGCATTATTAGTTAAATCCATCAGAGCTGTTACTGATTTAACGTCTGACTGGATGTTGATATGTCAACATGTAAAGACATCTTTTACAACAGATTTGTGTTATGTTGTATTTTAATTTAAAAAAATATAATTTATGTTTATACATATATTTCTAACTACAGAGTAGGGACTGATGTTTTTGCTTGCAAAACAAGGTCCATTGTGTGCCAGAAAGCACATTTACCATAATTGCGTTATGTCTTTTTAGTATTCCACCCTAAAACACATCAACACAGTTAGCCTGAATCTAAAACAAGGCCTCCCCTCCCTGTTATTTAATTGTTTTTATTTGCCTACTTATTCATGCTTTCATTCAGTTTCTCTCCTCTTTTTCTCTGACATCTCCTTGTCATTTTGACTGTCAAATAGCTTTACGTTGAAAGGCCCTGTGAAGTCTATACTGACTTTAATGGGGTGTTTTCACCCAAAAAGGTTGGTATAGTAGTAGATTATGACGTACAGTAGTTTGTAGTTATTTACTTGATAGAGATTAATGTAGTGCATTATCAGCTTTTGAAGAAGCCACATTTAATGGCTTTCTGTGAGTCATTATAAATCATTGAAATGGCATTTAACCTCGTTATTTCACTTTTTAATTAGCCCGTTAATGTAACTGTAGTTTTAGTGACATTAGTCACTTTTGTGTCTAACATTATCATTGACCATGCTTCCCTACAGACCCCTCACCTAGTGAACCTGAACGAGGATCCTTTGATGTCAGAATGTCTGCTTTATTACATCAAAGATGGAATAACAAGGTATGAAATCACTTTCAGAACTGTCAGAAATTTCTTAGCTGTCTGTATGTTGCACTGAGGCATCTTATGATTGCTACACATCCAACCAGTCAAGGGTCCTACAAAGGACATGATGTTTTTTACTGCTTTGATGTAAGGATTTTTTCTACATCGCCAATTAAAATAATAGACTTCTTTATCATTAAAAAAAAATATATATATATATAGTGTGGCTAAAAAAAATAAATATATATTACTGTGGCTCAGCGGTAGAGCATTGCGTTAGCAGCGCAAAAGGTCGTGGGTTCAATTCCCAGGGAACACGCATACTGGTAAAAAATGTATAGCCTGAATGCACTGTAAGTCGCTTTGGATAAAAGCGTCTGCTAAATGCATAAATTATTATTCAGAAAGAAGACAGGATATCGTTCTAAGCGGAGCTCACATCAAAGAGGAGCACTGTGTCTTCCGCAGTGAGAGGAATGCCAACGGAGATGGTTAGAGCTCACTTACACCTTAAGATCCATTTAACTGTGTTCAGTTCACGTGTCAGCTGATAAACGCTTTTAAATCAGACATGATCAGTTCAGTGCAAATTAACTAACTTTTCTGTCAAAGATTAGTTCTTTGTTCTTTACGCTTTTACTGAATGAACATCTTATATTAGGCTTTTCTGCTGGAGGTAGTGAATTGTCTTCTGTCTCTGCAGTGATTGTCAAGTTGGAGCCATGTGAAGGGTCCGAAACATATGTGAATGGAAAACGTGTGACTTCTGCAGTCCAACTGCGCTCAGGTGACTCACTGACAGCTGCCTGCACATTTCAGTTCTGGTTTAATCTGGTTGATTATATTCATTAAAAAAACTAAACAAATGAAACGTAATTTGGGAACGATTCACTTTATATTTCAATGCGAAAGTAAGCTGTTTCCTGTGAATGTGCCTCATTAGCCTCTGTAGGAAAATAACAAAATGCATTAAGCAATAGAACTGTTTGCACTACAGATTACTGATTACAGATAATGCATTAATGTGATAACAAATGGCAGTTTGCAACATTAAGCAGCATAATGGACTTGGTACAGCTAAAAGAACTGAAAGTGGCTGACACCAGAAACCTTGCACATACAAGTTGGATAATACATGTGCAAAATTTATGTTTATAGGCTGTTATATTGTTCCAATGTGAACCTGTTCATTCCTCAGGTAACCGCATTATCATGGGAAAGAACCACGTGTTCCGGTTTAACCACCCTGAGCAGGCTCGCGCTGAGCGTGAGAAGACCCCGACAGCAGAGACACCCATAGAGCCAGTGGACTGGACCTTTGCCCAAAGAGAACTGCTGGAGAAACAGGGTATCGACATGAAGCAAGAGATGGAGAAAAGGTACGAAAGCCCTAAAAATCATCAGATTTTATTAAACGACAGCTCCAGGTTCAGTATATCCTTTTTACTCATCCCTCAGGCACTTTGCAATGAAAATACAGTTTAGGAAGTAATAGTAAACGTTCACACTAGTTTCTGGTTAACACATGTATATGGAAACTGTGAATTTGAACATTTATTGTCTTTGTAAGTGCCTTACTGTAAAATATAATTTCTCAATTATTTTCTGTGGTAATTGACATAATACCTTATATGCTGTCAATAGAGCTTAACTTAACTATTCAAACTCGCAAAATTCTTTCAAGGCAAGTGTGAATTCCAGCTAATATATAGTATAGGGTTGGATAGCCAACCAAAGCCAGGGCCACCCAGCAGCTACAGAAGACAAAATCTACATTTTGTGAAGTTTAAGCTCTTGGTATGGAATGTGAGCAAATATGAATTGGATTATTGTAAGAAGGATTTTTAGGATTATGTTGCGGAAAGGAAATGCAGTGAGCGTAAGAAAGAGCAGCTTTTTGATGCAGTGGTCTCACACTGTATTATATCAGGCTTACAGAAATGGAGATCCTGTACAAAAAAGAGAAGGAAGAAGCGGACCAGCTGCTTGAGCAACAGAGACTGGTAAGGCTGAATCTCTTTGATAATTCTTGTTTCTTCTGTTGTTTATCAGAGGACCTGTTCTTTCGTTTCAATTAGACCTTAATTGTCTAATTTCCAAATTAGACTGAGGGGAGAGATGTGCCATTTGATGAACGGAGTAAAACGGGCCCGTAGTTTTCTACTTGCTCTGCTGAAGTCCAACCAGCACTAATTCTGCACTCTTAGCTCTGACAACTTGAGACTTTTGTGTGTCTGTATGTGTGTGAGAGTGAAACACTTCTCCCAGTGCATGGCTGAACCTCTTTGCATGGTAACTGAATCGACTCTGTCTGGATTGAGATAGCAGATGGCCCATTGCTGATATGGACTGATTTACATATTCAGTTTGATACAGCAAGAATTAGCGAGAATTTCTTATTCAAATTTTCACTTTTCTCTCATAGAGTTGAGATGTAACTTTGCAAAACAGCATCAGCAGAAAAATACCAATTCGCCTTTTAATTAGTAATCTGTGTTTTTTATGAACATTACATTGTTGTGTAAGGCATTGGTTTGCCATGTACCAGTTAAAGACTCCATGAAGTAAAAATGGGAGCTTTGTTGAGATTTGACAGTTGTATGATTTATAGCTGTCATTTAACTTAACATATTTATTAAATGTTTTAATGTGATTTTTTTTTTTTTTTAAGCTGATTTGAATTGAACTAAATTAAATGTCACTCTTCAGGGTTATATGTTTTTATGTAATATTTTGGAAATAGACAAAAAAGATCCACCGTCAGCTTAATTTTATATAAAGTAAAAAAAATATATATTACCATATATGAGCCAATTGTTTAATTTTAAAACAACAAACAACATTTTGTCCATATGACACTTAATTTTAATATTTTTCTCACAGTATAAATGGGTCTTTGCAAATATTTATAAAAAAAAAAATACTTCTACAGTAATCATCATATCTGGAGATCTTTTACATCCTGGAGTTGACATCAAACTTTTGCCCGTTACCATTTTTCATGGGGTCTTTAAATTAAATTGGAGATCTTTTCTTTAGTTTATTCTGTATGCTGCTTTTGCATGGTTTGTTTTTGTAGCATGTTTAACAGATTAATTACAGGGTACTTAGTACCTCATTTAGTATTTGTTGCTGAGCAGTGTTGTTAAGCTGGTCAAGCTTGAGTCAGCATTTGATTTACCCAAATAGATTTCGTTTTGTTTTTTTATTGCGTTGTTGGTTTTCTCAATGCAATTGCTGATATTTCCAATGCATTGTTGCCATAACCCAAGATTTCTGCTGTAGTTGATGAAGGCTAGTGACAATGTGGTTTCTCATTGACATCTGTAGCCTTGAGTTGTACACATCTGTGTCTGGCTAGGCACAGAGGGCATGCTATAACACAGCTATCCGTACTGGGGGTCTTAATCAATGATGACAAGCTCTCCAATGCTCCGATGGTCTCATTCATATAATCTCGTACACAGAATGACACAGATATCGTACACTGCACTGATTACACAACCACGATTACATGGTCGCCAGATGTCTCCTTTGTTATTTGACTGTGATTTTTGTATTGTCCTTGTTTTACTTGACCTGGAAAATGAGAAACTGCATTTTCTCTCAACTAACCTCTTAACTGTAGTGGATGAAATCGATGCTTTTAACCTCCTCAGAGCCTGTCCTTTTCTCTTTTTCTTCTCTGTACTGACCTGTAATAAACACGCAAGAGTCTAACCCACTGCTAGAGCTAGAAAAACTCTAAAACCAAATCTTCTCTATCAAGGACTTCATATGAGGGAATGAAGCAAAACTCATCAGGCTTTGCTGCATGCCACTGAAGCATGTTTGGGGTGAGACTTTCAAGAGCTCTAATTGAAGAGGATGTCATGAATTTAAACTTGACAAAAAGAAAGAAACCAGCGCAACAGCTAAAACAGCATATCAAGCAACATCTATCCACTTTTTGTTGACATTTTTCTCATAATCATGAAAGTCATGCCTTGCATTTACTTTTTATAGTGATATGCAACTTGGGAATAACGGTGATTTTAATTTGTATCTACACACTGTAAATCAAAAAAATAACAGTAAGCATTGTCAAATGCATCTGCGAGTACATAATCCTCTCTAAAATTTTCATATCTGTAGTCGACTTGCAGTCTACAAACATTTGCTTTCAGCTTTTCCTGCAGTTAGTTAAAAATTGTCAAGTACGCTGACATTTTTTCTCAGCTTAATTAATCAGTTTGTACATTTTTCTAAATATTGCAATGTTTTCTCAAGGTTTTAAAAAATCTCTAGAAAGTTTAACATATGTAATTAGGAAATCCTGTGTATCTGATGTGTATAGTTATAATCAGGGTTTGAAATTAACACCCGCCAACCCGCCAATGCGGGTAAAAATCAGCTGTGGCGGGTAACGCTGTCAAATCACTAGCCAATTTGGCGGGTTATTTTTCGTAAATTGTTTACTAATTAATTTCTTGAGGAAGTTCATGTAAGCCAAATCTGCACAGATTTAGTGTAAATACTGAACTCGAGACTCATCATGATATATTAAATAAGCCTAATTGCGCAGCATCTGGGCATCTAGCTTACTTGAACATACCCAGCGATGTAGCTACTAGCCATCGGGAGCACCGGGACATTCCCGGTGGGTCGATCGCCGAAGCGAGGGAGACCTCATATTAGGCGCTTTTTTTAAGTTACAGCCCACGCGAAACTGCAAAAAGCAAGTACTCCAAAAGTGTGAAGCGGCACTAATAATACAAATACTTCAGAAATGTACATGTATAAATTGAATGTTAGCTTTCATTGTTAAACAAACCAGTAGCAGTGCTTCTGCTTTCTTTATAGTCTCATATTGCAAAGCATCATCTCATTTAGCTGTTCCCATTTTGCATATCACAACACTGTCCATTCTTTACAGAAAACATTCCTTTTGATTTCGATATCCCATTTTAATTTTCCCATTTTGTTTTTCGCACTCTTTGGTTTGTTTCCTGTTTTGTTCTCTCAAGGATGGAGACTCTGATAGTGGCGACGACTCTGATAAGAGGTCGTGCGAGGAGAGCTGGAGACTCATCACTTCACTTCGGGAGAAACTTCCTCCCAGCAAGCTCCAAACCATAGTCAAAAAGTGTGGCTTACCCAGCAGCGGTAAAAGACGAGAGCCTGTCAAAATGTACCAGATCCCTCAGCATCGTCGCCTTACAAAGGACTCCAAATGGGTGACTATTTCTGATCTGAAGATCCAGGCAGTCAAAGAAATTTGCTATGAGGTGGCTCTGAATGATTTCCGTCACACCCGTCAAGAGATTGAGGCTCTGGCCATAGTAAAAATGAAAGAGCTTTGTGCCACCTACAACAAGAAAGACCCGAATGAACGCGATTCTTGGAGAGCTGTGGCTCGAGATGTCTGGGACACTGTAGGGGTCGGGGACGAACGAATCGAAGATGTCATAACAAACGGGCGAGGTGTAACTGACATGGATGACCTAAAAGTGCACATTGACAAACTGGAAGACATCCTGCAAGAGGTTAAAAAGCAGAACAACATGAAGGATGAAGAGATTAGAGCTCTCCGTAATAAGATGTTGAAGATGGAGCAAGTGATTCCACTCATTTCCAACGAGTCTCAGGAGAAAAACACTCGCAGTGCACCCATGAGAGCCCGCAGTTCCAGTGAGGGTAAAGCTCTTGAGGAGAAACCCAACGGCGAACAGTCGGACGAGCAGGTGCCTACAATGATGGATGATGATTCTTCGTTCCGACGTGGACATATACGTTGGATGCGACAAGAGCAGGTACGCCTCAAGAACCTTCAGCAACAGGAGATTTCCAAGCAGCTCCGGAGGCAAAACGGACCTCACCGCTTCATCCCACCTGAAGACCGCAAGCTGCGCTTCCCTTTCAGGAGTAACCCCAAACATCGCAACTCCTGGACCCCTGGCACTCATATCATTATCACAGATGAACAGGTGATCGAGTTGAAAGTTCCCAAAGAAGCAGTCCAGGAAGAGGAAGACGGCAAAGTGGAGGCTGCAGAGCCCAGAGAACAAGTGGTGCCCATCATCCACACGTACCCTACTCTTCCTAGTCCCATGGGTCAACGTAGAAGCAAAGATTTAGAGCAAAGCCTGAGTCATAGACACAATCAAAGCCACAAACTCCATGAACGAGGCCGTAGTAACTCCTTCAACAGCAGCCAGCGTGCCTCGGACTCTACGGAGTCCCTCAATTCTGGGAACAGGAAGCCCCCTCACCCACAACAGGCCTATTACCAGCCACGCTACAACCAAAACCAGCATCATTATCCACAACAACAGCATCCACAGTTCTGTCATTACAATACTGATGCCAGCAACAACTACCAGCAGTACCCACCTAATCAGCAGCCGAGCCACCACAACAATTTTTACACTCCACCCCGTATGCGTAGGCAAATGTCTGCCCCCAATTTGAAGGGCAGTCGAGAAACCACAGTGTGACATTGGAAGCAGGGCATAGGTTCATGTACAGAACTAGTTGACGCTACAAATCACACATCACAGACTCATCACAGCATTGGACAGCTTGTCCCCATCAAGTCCAACTGTTATGTGGCACTTGTTTTAAACGATTGAATGTTCTTGTTGTCATTTGTAGATTCAAATTGCAATGGAAAATACCACATGAGCACCTTGAATCAATAATTTGATCCCCATCCATGTTAGTTATGCATATGGGTTAAAAGTCTAGCAATAAGTCTGATGGTTAAAGGTGTCCAAGCCACAACAAGATCTCAGAACAGTGTTCTTGAGCTTTGATTAATTAATCGAGCATTGTTTTTGCAGTAAAGTATTGGGAACTATGAGTTTTGAGAGAGACACCCTTTAGTTCTTGACTGTAGTATTAACTTTTTTAAACTTTAGTATGCCATTATGGAATTGAGATGTACTTTACACTGATTTGCCTCAGTTTACTATCGTTTTGCTGCTGGTCTTGATGGTCTGAACCGATCTAAGAATTGAACACAACCACTACACTGCAACATTTCATACTGTACAGTGAGAACCTTGAACCATTACTTGAATTTTGAGTTTTTGAATTTACAATTCAGTCATATGTGTGCATTCAAGATGCATGGGTGATATGTTCAGTAAATGCTGGAAGGTTAATAGCCAACCTTTTATCCTCTTGAATGTTTCTAAACGCATGTCAGAGATGCAAATGACATTTTTACCGTTACATTTTATGCTAATTGTTTTATTTCATGAAGTTTTGGATCTTTGCATTGGTATTCCCCATTAAATAGTTTAAATATGAAAGTTGGCAGCAAAGGCCTTTCTCTAGCTGCCTTATGTAGATGAGTAAAAGATTATGAAGGAGTGCTTTTAAAGTTTTTAAGTGCCTTATTGACTCACTGTGTCAATAAAATTGCATTTATCTTGTACTTGGCGCCTAAAAATAAGTAATAGCAATATATAAAGAAAACAGAATGATTTTGCGTCAATCTTTTAATCTGAAAGATAAAGACACCACCTCTAAATTAGGTAAGAACAGTTTCTTTTTCATCAAAATAACTGCCTCTTTGTTTTTATAACGTTTGGTTCTGCCTTATTTTGAGTACAAACCACTCTGCACTAAACATCCATATCCAAAGAGGCAATGCTTTTTGTGAAACGCAGTAAAAGAACGGCTTCAGAGCGTGGTTTGCATCTATTGTTCCTCTAAACTGTCTGTTGCACTCTGATCCTCAATAGGGGGATAGCCTGTTCCCACGGGATGGAGTCAGTGTTCTAGAACACTCTGCTGTTTTCTTCAATCTTAACATGATTAGAATCGCATTTATTTTCGGGTGTCCGCTGTGTGGCAAGCGAGCCCACAGAAAGCACCAGAGAATTCTCATGGAAAGGACCTCTAACAGGGCTGTTTCCATGGTTTTCAAGACTCGTTTTGAAAGTTGTTGCATGTTTTTAGGGAAGGAAAAACCCTTAAAAGCCAAATCAAATTTGCTGGACAGGTATATGCTGCATTGCGTTTTGTTTTATTTTCTCGTTTAGTCACATGTGAATTCACAGCCTTTATATGTAATGCCACTAAGCAAGCACTAGATTAAATTTACCACTGTTTCGGTAATTATGTTCACGTAGGGTTAATGTAGTTGTACATCCTTACACTTAAGTCACTGTGATTTCCCTGCTTAAGCCTTGATGTAATTATGCACTGTTGTGCCTCAGCACCCAAGTGTGACCCATTACCAGCTGCGTATTACCAAAGCACATCTGAAATCCTCTTCATGTCGTCTCCTCTGGCCAGAGCCAAGCGTTAGCCAACTAGGTCAAAAGTCCAGGCTTTAGCATTGCTTCATATGCATGAAGAACTTGAATGCTTTTGTTGCCAGAAATACTGCCTTATTTCTAATGAAACCCCTGGGTTTTGTTATAGTAATGCATACTTGCATAAAACAGAATTACTTTCCCTTCAAAAGGTAAAATCAAGAAACTGGATAAATAAAAATTACACATTTCACCTTTAAACTAGAGCCCTCCTTTTTTTTATTTGACAAGTGTAAATCCAGACAATGCAACATTGGCTCAACCAGTGATATCAGTTTGGGGGTGGGGCTGTCTATATTTCTGTCCAATGACCGATAGAGAGAGTGCTAAAAAACAGTCATTATTTTTTGAAAATCTGTTTTATGCAGTAAAAATTACACATTTCACCTTTCAGTGCTGCACAGAAATTAAAGTTTAAGTCGCTCCTTGATTATCTTTATTTTAAACTGCTATCTAGACATGCCATTTCCCTGCTCCAATAAAGAAAGTTATGCTAACGTTAATGCACGGTGCTGCCAGCTACTCTTAGCTACCACAAGAGGAGCTAAGGAAATATATAAAGACAATGTAGTTTTACCCTTTTTAAAGGTATATCACTTGTCTGTTCAGTGTTTATCTATATGCAATGGTGATATCAAGTGCCTCCAAAAGGCCCCGTAATGTGTTGTTTAGGGGGGCATTTTTTGTGCAACATATGATCTTTAATTCTCAAAAATGTGTTGATGGTTTACTAATATTGCTATTACATTGAACTGTGCTGAATATATCAAAATTTCAAACAATGACTGAAATAAAGTGGACAAGTTTGAAATGTATTGACTGTTGACACTCTCAGCCAAATGTCTTTATCTATACAAACACATACTTAATAGCAATTACATTTAAAGAATTTAAAAATATTTATTAGTAGTTTTATCATGATCATTTTATCATATTACAGCTCTTAATATGAGGTATGACAGCAGTCAGCCATTAGTCAGTGTTGTGAAATAAGTCTGAAGTTAAGTACATTGCCTTGCGAAAGTATTCATTTTTTTTCACGTTTTATGTTGCAGCCTTGTGTTAAACTGCTTTAAATTACCCCCCCCCACATAAATCTACACTCCATACACCATAATGACAAAGCAAATAACAGGTTTTTTAGCATCTTAGCAAATTTATTAAAGATAAAAAATAAATAAAAAACTTAAATGATTCCATTGCATAAGTATTCATACCCTTATCTGGGTCAGTTGAAATATAGCTCAGGAGCATTAATTTTGCTTGTAAATGTTACCACACTTTGTGAAGCTAACCTGTGGCAAATTCAATTGAATGGGTATGATTTGGAAAAGCACACATGACTTAATAAAAGGTCGAACAGCTGAAAATGCATGTTAGAGTAAAGACCAAGCCCTGAGGTAAAAAAAAAAAAAACTGCCTGTAGAGCTCAGAGATAGGATTGCATACTTTCTCAAGGCACTGTATAAAATGAGTTTGACTTCCAGAGCGATTATATTATCTATCTAGTGCAAGTAGATTTACAGCTGTTTTGACATTGAATTTATAGACAGAATATTCTCATTTGTTATAAAACAATGTGGGACTAGTAAAATCTGTTTAAATGCCAGGAAAATTTTACATATAACCACATTTTAGTGAAACAGCATGCAAAATACCTCTCTTATACAATGCACAGTCTGTTCTACCTAAAACATTTTTATTACTATTTAAATGTATTATAAATGTCTATGTAGTGAAATGTAGTGAAATGTCTAGACATTTTGGCGCCATATACGTTTTTTTTCATCAGCTTCAGTAGATGCGGCAGTGAAGAACATACCTTGATTTGTTTAATTTTCAAAATTGCTGGAGGGATGCAGGATGGGTTTCATGTCTTGGATGTTATCAGAAATGTGTTCTCCCCATGGCAGAACATCAAAATTAAAAGTGCTTTAAATTTTCTATATTACTATCGCATATAATTAAGTTATGGGATTGTTCAAATCTAAAGTATTAAACGTCAGCATGCAACACATCCTGCACCTTTTGTGCTATGCAATAGTATAGATGGATTTGCAACATATCTAGGGAGAAGAGACTTGGAGGTGAGCTTTTTCTATTTGAGCCACCTCACAATGCCCTAGCAACCCTAGAAGCTGCATAGCAACATTGTCTCCATTGTCTATTTCTGTGTGCAAAATTAGTGCTGTTCAGTTTAACTTCAGTCAAAGTCATTAAAAATTTTTTAAGAAGTATAATTATCATTCCAATGTCATGAACTAGCACACAATTGATAAAGTTACAGTGTAACCATCCTCTTGAAGCTTCATCTCTCTAAGGCTCAGTGAGTGTTTGTCATGCCGATACGATCATGTCGTGTCTCTCTTCATCAAACCTTCTCAAAGGTATATGAGAGTAAACTGCAAGAGCTGCAGAAACAGGTGGAGACTCGCTCACTGACTGCAGAGACCCCAGATGAAGAGGAAGATGAAGAGGAAGAGGATGAAGGTAATGTATTTTAAATGCTAAAATCAAAAGTCAGAATCAGGTGTTGAGCTACTCTACGTTTTTTTTGCAAAAGAGGTTTATGTGCATTGTACTGGGACATTGCATAAGTAGGACATGTTCCTAAATCAACATTGTTTGAATCACATTCCTGTCCTAACTCTATCCATAACCTCAACCCAACCAAAACCACCCAACAATCAGAGGAACATAGATAATAGGCTGATAAATCCCTGTCCCTTTCACTATAGTCTGACTGATTGAATGTTGTTCTAGGAACAATAAGGACGTCCTGCTTGGCAAAATCACAACAACCAGCTACAGTATATCACTGCCTTGCCATGTTTGAATGTTGTGCCTGTATTGTTACAGTGCCCTGGACCCAGCATGAGTATGAATTGGCCCAGTGGGCTTTCAGGAAGTGGAGATATCACCAGTTCACCTCCCTCAGAGACCAGCTGTGGGGCAATGCTGTGTACCTCAAAGAAGCCAATGCCATCAGTGTGGAGCTCAAGAAAAAGGTGCAGACAACATTTGTCAGTCATCAAAACATTGAACTGTTTTTAACTTCACCCAGTGTGAAACCCTGAAAAAAGGAAAGTCTAGTGTATGGTCTTTTTTTTTTTAAACTTACTTCCACAACATGATGTAAAACAGTGTATGACTGAGTTTTCATTGTGATGCCAGTTTACCAGTAAGTTCTGCTGTATTTACATATTCTCAAACAGATCCCTATTGCTTTACTCATTATCCATGTGTCAGCTTTCAAAAGTCGTCTCATTAATGTCAAAAAAACGCACATAAACGGTTTCATCAGTTCTTTTTCTGTCACTTGCTTCACTTTTACTTATTTATGCCTCTTTTTTTTTTCTGTTCATATGTGTATAACCTCATGAAAACCCCTGCTGTTCAGCCTTGAGATAAAAACATTTTTCTTATGATTTCTAATGCACTCTTACATTGTATTTATAGCTTCAGTGGGGCCAGAGGCGATTTTTAATTCGTTTTTCATCAGCGTGTGGAAATCTTATGCTGTATTCAGCTTTGTTACATTACTTCAGTATCCAAAAATGTCTGAACCTACAATCTTTCAGTCATCAACTCACATCATTTATCCTTGTTTATGCCCTTATTTCTCATTTACATGATCTGTTTGTAGGTCCAGTTCCAGTTTGTCTTACTCACGGACACCCTCTACTCTCCGCTGCCCCCGGAGCTGCTGCCCCCAGAACCAGAGAAAGAGCGTGACACTAGGGCTTTCCCTCGAACAGTGGTGGCTGTGGAGGTTCAGGACTTGAAGAACGGAGCCACTCACTATTGGTCCCTGGAGAAACTTAAGTAAGCCTCAGGATGCCAACCAGTCTGTGATCTACAGAGTTTTGCTCTTATATCTTGTGCAGTTATTATTTGGAACCATTCCATTTAGAAATCCCAAAGCTCTTTTAAAGGGGTCATATGATGCGATTTCAATTTTTCCTTTGTCTTTGGAGTGTTACAAGCTCTTGGTGCATAAAGAAGATCTGTAAAGTTGCAAAGACTAAAGTCTAGGGGTGTAACGGTACACGTATTCGTACCGAACCGTTTCGGTACGGGTGTTTCGGTTCGGTACGCATGTGAACCGAACGAATACAGGTTTTTTGTTTTTTTTTTCTCTCCGGAAATTCAAATAATAAATGGCATTTTGACAGTCTTTGTGGCATGACAGATCGCTGTATAAACGCCTTGGAGAGCCGCTTCTGGGACGGTTCAGAAACGTGCTGGTATAATCCCAACACAAGCACTGACTAGAGCGGCCGCGATCAGCTCCGGTTCCCGTGTCTGAGCCGTGACGCCCCGCAGATTTGTGCAGAGCGGAGCGCGAGTGAACGCGATCATTCCTTCCTCTGTACTACTAGTTTTAACGCGAATAAACATGACTGAACATCTCATGCCTCATGTAATTGCTCAATCAGTGTTTCAACCGTTTGGCCTTCCAAAAGAGGACACAACTAGAAATCAGTGGTTAAGTTGTATTTACAACACTGTTCCAGAACAGTTCAACCCAAATATTCAGATGTGTGCAGCACATTTTATGGAGGACAAAGACTGTTTCCTGGGAGAGCAGCCTACAATGCCGGTGTCTGTTTCTGTAAAGTAAAGTGCAATTCCAACTTTGCAAGGACAGTCTGGCGCTTCTGACTCACAGCCTGTAAGTACATTTATTCATTTATTTGATTTATTTAACTTCAAAAGGAGTTTAAAGTGCTATTTGTCAGCTATAATTTATCAGGGTGACATTTATAACAGAACATTTGCATGGTTCCTCACAAAACTTGTGTTCGAATGGAAATGAATTCACTGGGAACAAAGGAGTTCTGTCATTCAAGCAACTCGGAAGTCTGCTTCCCATGTGGCCAGTCACATGACCATATTCCAACATGACATTCAACATGATATTCAAAATGGCCTATTTTAACAGTTCAACCAGTCTATTTTTATGGAAATTGTTCATTTTAAGTGGTACTCTGAAAAAATTCTCAATACTGTGCCAAGTGTCAAATAAAAGCCCTATTACAGTGGTCAGAAAAGATTTTCCAAATGATTAATTCCTCCTTGTCAAGATTGTCAGAAATTAAATTGACCCTTGTGTTTAAAAAAGAAAAAAAATGATTGGCCCTGAATTTCCTCTTGGATAGTAGTACAAAAACACATTTTCTATGTAGACGACAATAACATCACAGACTAGCACCTTTAAATACTGAAATTACCTCATGTTTGTATATAAACTAATAACCAGTCGAAAGGACTTTAAATGCAGCAATTGTAACATTGTTGGTTTAGTTGATTTTGTAATGCGAGATCAAAAATGTGACTTGACTTTTCATGTTCTTACAGACAGAGGCTGGACCAGATGCGAGAGATGTATGACCGTGCAGGCGAGATGGCCTCGTCCAATCCGAGTGAGGATGTGGAGGGTGCTTTGACCGGCAGTGACCCGTTCTATGACCGCTTCCATTGGTTCAAGCTGGTTGGGAGGTATGCTAATCACCTAACCTTGTTCCATGAATTGAGAAATGATTAAGCATGTTAAACAGAAATCATTATGTCCTGTGGTTTTAAATACTGTAAAATTAGGCTTAATTCTTCACAAACATTTTGCATGTTTTGTGGTTGAAACAGGGTGTCAGTGTGTGAGAATTTTTGTTTCATTTGTTTGTAAAGATCTGCTCTCTTAGTGAAAGAGGGAGCCCATAAATCATTCATGACATCTTTGTTTAGTCATTAACACTGTTAGTTTTCTCTTCATATTTAAATCACCCTTTTTATTCACATGATTTTTTGTTTGTTGGTTTTGCATTGTTTTCCCAATCATAATGTGCTTGTGTTTTGCTGTTTGCTGGTGTAGTGTGTGTTTATTTATTTATTATTTAATTTTTTTATGCAATGTTTTCATCCATTTGTCATTATTTTAAACGTTCATTTCATATGTAGATTGTTTTTTGTTTTTCTGTGCACATTATACACATTGTAGAATTCTGATTATTGTCCATGTTTTATTTCCATAATCAAGATTAGAACAGTTTCTATGATGTCTTTTGTAAAATTTTTAAACTTACTGCATTAAGTAAAAAATAGCAATTAATTATTCATGTACCTGCTATGTTTATTGTTTTTTTATTGTATAGTCGTGGCCCTTAAATGTGGGTCATTTAAATAATCCTGTAAACTCTTGCTTGTGCCTGCATCCTACCCACGCACCTTTTTTTTAGCTCACCTATTTTTCACGGCTGTGTGAACGAGCGTCTGGCCGACCGCACTCCCTCACCCACCTTCTCCACCACCGATTCTGAGATCACTGAGCTGGCCGACGAACGGCAGAGCGAGATGGAGGATTTCATGGATGACGAGGCTTTTGTGGACGACACCAGCTCAGACGCTGGGACCGAGGAAGGCTCTGACATCTTCAGCGATGGGCAGGACCCCTTCTATGACCGTTCCCCATGGTTCATCCTGGTGGGCAGGTTGGTGGTGGCCACTGCTCGGGGGGGAACCTGAAAAATGAGGGCTGGAAAGAGAATGAATGACGAAGAGAAATGGAGACAGTTGTGTGGCTCAGTGTGCAGCTGTTAATGATCTAAAGATAATTTAGAGACAGTAAAAATGAATTCATTTTCTAATCATGTGAGATCAGATCTGACCTACGAAACGGCTCACATGGCTATACCAGACACCTCCTCCAGTTCTCCACAGCCTACATTTAACCTCCATCTGTCTGGTTTGGTTTAACATTAGCACTCGAAACCTTAGTACACATTTGTGTTTGTTTTCATTCATTGTATTTATTTTAATCGGGCTGTAAATCGATTCAAATGTGTTATGGTTAGCGTTCAGTTCCTTTTTGAGACAAGAAAACTGATCAGAATGCACTGCTAAGTGCTAATACAAAGAAACGCAAATGTAATAATAAAATTCAATAATAAAACCATGTTCACAGCACTTTATGGACTTAATCTTTCATATGCAGATTTTTAGCCACTGGCCTGCTGCATTTTGTTCTCTGCTGGTGTTCACATTAACATTTTTATGAATGACAGTGTTTCACTTGTGGGTGTTATTTCACTTAGCCTCAATGGGAATTCAATTTCACCATACAAGAATGCAAATTACTTTTGTTAAACATCCCATCTGGATGTTCCTCCATTGGTCTTTCTCCTTTGACTGAGAAACAAATGCTTTGCTAGGGACTATTGTGAATGTATGTATATAAGACACAGACACTTGAACACAAGGAATGCTCAGATCAGTTAGACAAAAAATTATATCTAAGAGCTTTTAAAATAACATTGTAACAATATGTTGTTAACTTTGATTTACAGCCCCAGTTTCTTTATTTTTGTTACTTTAATCATTTATTGTGCTTGTATATCAACATATTAAATTGTGTTTATTTGTTTAATGTTTTTATTTAATTTTGTCTGTATTCTTTTTTCCCTTTATTAACATTAATCTCCATTGAGTGTACTGAAGAGCTGTTATTTATCAGTCAGCTGATCAAGCGAGATGGATAGAGGAGGAGAGAGGCAACGTAGTCTGGATCGATGCAGAGGCGTAAATGGATCTGCGTCATTGTGACTTCACTGATGCGCTACAGTGATGGCTCTCCTCCATCTTGGCCTTGAGGCTGCCTATAGGGGGGAGGAGGAGCTCTCTGACTGCAAACAGCTCCTGAAATTCAGACTATGTGTGCCCCCTAGCCTCTGAAAATAGAAAATATTCTAATACAATCTCTTATTTGGTTGCCCTTCTTTTTCTTTTGCCATTCAATTTCAAGGTTGACGGATTTGTTTTCTGTCTTTTGTTATTTAACTCTATTAGCTCTTAGTAAAAGTGTCTGACACATCATATCCATTATTCTCTGATTGTGTTAATCAGGGTAATGGAGATGAACCCATGGCCCTGCAGTGAAAGGAAGTCACTGTGCATAACTGCTCGGCTGTTTTTACACATCTCCTGTACCCTCCATACTAATACATATGGTTCTTGGTACATGTTGTGTGTGCATGAGACAGTCAGGCGGCGACGGTTCTCAGGGCAGAACTACAATTGTCGTTCTTTTTCCTCTAGAGCCTTCGTGTACCTGAGTAACCTGCTGTACCCTGTGCCTCTGGTGCACCGTGTCGCTATAGTAACAGAGAAGGGAGAAGTGCGAGGATTCCTGCGAGTGGGGGTCCAAGCCATCGCTGGTGAGTGCTGCTCTATATTAAAGGGGTCATATGATGCGATTTCATTTTTTCCTTTCTCTTTAGAGTGTTACAAGCTCTTTGTGCATAAAGAAGATCTGTAAAGTTGCAAAGACTAAAGTCTCAAATCCAAAGAGATATTCTTTATAAAAGTTAAGAGTTAGCCACACCTACCTAAAACGGCTCGTTCGAACACGCCCCCACATATCTACCTCACTATGTGGGAAGATTTGCATAACGCCGCCCAAATGTTCACACAAAGAAAGAAGGCGTAACTTTTATTCTCACTGTAGTATTGTTGCCGCCGACGCCATGTCGTGAAGACGCTGTGTGCTTCGTTGTGAAAGCGAAACCACTTTGTTTGGTCTTCCAAAAGAGGACAATATCTGCTTCGTCATGCCTGGAGCTGATCAGTGCTGGTCGCTGAGGGAATACTTCAACTTAGTGCTGTGGAGTTTTTTTAACTTTAAACCGCATAAACACATTTCATTACACCAAATACACAAAATAATGTTCTTTTTAGCAGCATCATATGACCCCTTTAATGAATTAATTAAGACTCGGCTCAGATTTAGTTAAGCACAGTTGATATCAATCTGATGTGCTTTATAAACATTCAGTCCTTTAAGTTGTTTTTCAACTGATCTTTGGAACTTGTGTCCTTTTTCTTTGGTATTTGTGTTTTTGTAGCTGACGAAGAGGCTCCTGATTATGGATCTGGTGTGCGTCAGTCGGGCACTGCTAAGATTTCCTTCGACAATGAGTATTTTAAAAAGGTACAAGCCAGTCCAGCATTTGAGACCTCATGTATAGTAGATGTAGATGTATACATGGCAAAATTTAAGAAAAAAAATCTTGTGTATATGTATTACCTAGTGTTGGGAAGGTTACTTTGGAAATGTAATAGTTTACAGATTACAAGTTACCCTATGTAATAAGTAGTGTAATTTTTCTAAACTGTTAATTGTTTTCAAACATTTAAAGCAGGCAGGTTTAACCTTACAGTAGTACTCAACGGTGATTACTGTCAGACTTTCAAAATCCTTCATCACTTGAATTAAGATTATAATAATTTAATTTTAAAGCACAGCCACCACAAAATCAGACTTTAGCACCTCTTTTTACGTTTGAGATCATTCTGAGGTTAAATACAGATTTAAAATCATAACATAATATAGTTTAAAAGCTATGATACTGTTTTTGAAATTGAGTCGTTGCATAGCTATAACAGGAAACATAAGCATCTAACAATGCCTTGGGGAAAAAAAGCAGTAAATTTAAAAAATAAAGCATATACACAAGCCCAAATATGAAATAAAACATTTATCAACTAAACGTGTCTTATTCTGTGTCCTAAATTCCTGAAACATCAGTGTCTCATATTTTAAAGCAGTCAATGCAATTTTGGAAATAACTCAATCAAATCTGTATGTGTGTGAAAATATTCAGATGTAACCCTTGTTGTAATCCTTAACATTTTCATAAGTAACTAATTTAATTACACATTTTTTCTCAGTAACTGTAACAGATTACAGTTACATTTCAACACAATGTTGCCTCAAGTTTGACATTTGTACAAATTTCTACAAGGTGTGAGTTGTTGGTGGTCATTTTTGTGATCGCTTTATTGCCTTTCTTTTTTCTGCCTCTTTCTTTTACTCTTTCACCATCCAGAGTGATTTCTCCTCCGTGGTCATGACCCGCTCTGGCCTCTCTTTGGAAGAGCTGCGTATTGTGGAAGGTCAAGGTCAGAGTTCGGAGGTCATCACCCCTTCAGAAGAGATGAACAGAATAAATTACATGGGTGAGTGTAGATGCATAGTCCAGCTGGCAGCCCCTGAGTTCTGAACAAAGCCGTTCAGTCCGAGCGAAAAGAAATGCTTACACATCCAGACCATGCTGTTTTACTATGTCGCGTTTGATTTACAAAGCCTCAGTGACCCAAAAGCTTTGGGACCAAACTGATTCTTCTAGGTTTTAACAGGTCAATAAAAGAAGTCCATGGAAACAGATTTATAGACACTGTTTATTAAAAATGTCAGATAATATCAAATAACTATCAAGCTGGTCCAGTTTGCCAGAAGCACACTCTAATAGTGGTGATAAATAGCTTAATATATAAAAAATAATGTAACTGCTTTCTATATAAAATTGGTCTATATATAAAAACGTTCTATATAAAATCGATTTCTAGGAATACATACAAGAAATGCCCAAGAAAATCAACCAAAATCAACAATTTCACATTAACCGTTTATAGGTCCTTTTACATAAACTAATATTATGCATATTTGTACATGTGTTTTGTGTCTAAAAGACTTGAAGCTTGGGAACGTGGACACAAAACTGGGTGACGGTTTGGCAGAGCATCTGGAAGTGGGCAGTATTTTCACTTTCCGCATCACTGTTCTGCAGGCGAGCAGCGTCCCGCCCGAGTACGCAGATATCTTCTGCCAATTCAAGTGAGTCAGCCTGTCTCTATGGCAACCCTTCTTTCCTGTCTCATTGGTCTTTATTCAGACGGAGCACACACACACCTCCACATAAATCACGCAATCGCACAGTCACGCTTCTCTCAGTAATCCTGTCTCATGCTGCCAACAGTTTCCTCCATCGTCACGATGAGGCGTTCAGCACAGAGCCCCTGAAGAACACAGGCAAAGGTGCCCCGCTGGGCTTTTACCACGTACAGAATGTAAGTGTTGAAAGCGGCGAGAGAAACAAGGTTTTGAGGAGGAAATTGAACATTATGGTGGCATAACTAGGGTGGCCATATGTGCCATTTATACGGGACACGTCCTGGCCATGATTTTTATATTGCCTAAAACATCTAAAGTAGTTTGACCAATAACATGCAGGTATTGTACATAATCGACCAATCGTGGCGCGCTGCGCGTGAGAAGGTGAGAACGATCAAAGCGATGCAAATACGTGCACGTGTTTGTTCATTCGTTCGACCCAAAGCTGCGCGCCATATTGTTGTATGACACCAAAGTACCGCGTGAGCGATTGAAAAGCATAAGGAGCTGTCTGCTCTGCTCTGTATAGCTCTCGTGAAATAATGTCATACTGCGATCGATTTGCACAGTGCTAACAGCCAAAACCTGGATATTTTAGGCAATATAGAAATCCTGGCAAGGGTGCGTCCCATAAAAATGGCCCGTATGTTCACCCTAGGCATAACCGATCCAGAGTTGTTCTCATTAAAGTATTTCATCAGGCTAGCTGCGTATACAGAATTATTCCTCATTATTACACATGGTTAGGCAAATATGCATGTGTTGTCAACTTATTTATCTGGTTTTCACATCCAGATCTCAGTGGAGGTGACAGAGTCTTTTATTGAGTACATAGAGACCAAGCCAATTGTGTTTGAAGTGTTTGGCCATTACCAACAGCACCCACTGCACATTCATGGACAGGAAGTGGTCAGGTAAACAACCTGTCGTCCAGTATCACAAATTTGATTAACATAATCATATATTTAGCATGAAAGCATTCAGTATTTTAAGTGCATTTCAGGGCCATAACCACATTAAGGGTGACTTTAAGGATGAATTTAAGGTGACATTAAGGGTCAATGGTATTTTTAAGTGACTGATGATATAAAATTTTACAATTGTCAAATATGAAATTTAAACATCTTTTATCTTTTATAGTTTTTACAGTGCTGTAATGTTTATTTTTGTTTCAGTCTTAGTGATTTTAGTACTTCAACTTAAAGTAATTTATTTCAGTTAGTTGCAACATTTCTCATTCATTTTCTCATCTCAATTTTTATCTGATATTTATATATAATTCAGTTACCAAAATTGATTGATAGATTTTGTTTTAGTTAACAATAACACTACATTGTTTCGTTTTGACATGAAAATAGCCTTTGATGTTGATATGGCATTAAAAAAATAAAATAAAGGGATTACAGGAAAGCTTTTAAAATGTAAAATGTCCAATGTAAGCTCTGTCAACACATTTTCTTATTTTTTATTTTAACAAAGTCAATATGATTTCCCTTTGTTATTGACAACATGTTGGAGCTTGATTTGTATTAAACCCAGAATATTACATTAAATTATTACAGTGAATATATTAATAAAATAAGTAACTGAGACATATATATTGTATAGTTGTTTTACAGCATATCTTAGTTGTTGTAAAAAATATCGCATGAATATAGCAGGAAATAAATGTTCCCTTAATCCTGACTATGTGGTTATGCCCTTGGTGGGTTGATTAAATCAGCATACAGATTGATTAATATTATTATAATTATTTTTTACTTGTCTAATTAATATTTTGCTTCTCTTATAGCCCTTCTCAGCCTTCTAGAAAGTACTACCCCCCACCTATGCCTTTGTCTAAACCAGGTATGATGGCAGCTACTATATAACTCCAAAATTACATCTCAATTTGTCTTCATAAAGAACATCACATGTTCATTAAGTCAGCTTGAAGGGTCTTAAATTTGCATAAGTAATAATAAAGCAGATTCCTTGAATAATACTCGCCCGGAGCTTGTATGCTCCTCTATCTCCCTTCATATTATTAGTGTAATTCATTACATGATTCATTAAACAAGGAACTACCTCACAGTTCACAATGCTGTAATCTGTAACTCTTTCGTTCGATATGGTTATCTCCTCTCAAAAGGGCTCCGGATCTCATTTATGCAGCAAGTCAGTTTGAAAGACGCAGCTGTCCGTCGTTCCTGTCCTGACTGTTGTTTTTTTTGATAGGGAACAAATCTCCCTTTGCGACCAAAAATAAAACAGAGGCTGTAGCCTTGAAGTGTCATCAATCCTGACGGTGTATTGATCTTCACCCCGAGCTGTCATTCTTTTATATCGCGATATGAATCTAGAGGTGCTACAGCTCAGTTGGAGATAATTAGAAAAGCTGTAGAGCTCTTTGTGATTTATAGATTGTAGATGCAGAGTGTACAAATAACCCCTCTTTTAACACCTGTCATATAAAATTTAATTCAAAGAGCTGTTAAGTGGTTCGAGTCTCCATGTGCCACTCAGGAATTGAAATAATAATAATTCCTAAAAAGGTAGGAATTTTATAGCTTAAGATAACAAAATAGTCTAAATGGCATTTGACAGCCAGAAAGTGTCCATTTTTACTAACATTTTGAACATTATATTTACAGTTTCTATATATTTTGTGTATATTTATATATAGTTTGTTTTAATAGTAAATATATATATTTAATTTGTTTATTATATATAATACATTACTGTTTAAAAGTTTGGGGTTGGTATGATTTATTTATTTATTTTTAAGTCTGTTAAGTAGACTCGCCAAAACTCCATTGGTCAAAAATACAGTAATATTGTGAAGTATTATTACGATTTAATCAACTATATTATTTTTATTACATTTCAAAATGTAATTTATTCCTGTGACAGCAAATCTGAATTTTCAGCAGGCATTACTCCAGTCTTCAGTGTCACATGATCCTTCAGAAATCATTCTAATATGTTGATTTGGTGCTCAGGATTCTCTGACAAAAAGAAAATTAGAAAACTTGCTAACCCCAGATCGTTGAATGGTAGTCCATATTTTTATATTTTATCTTCAAAATAAATGTCACTTTGATATTTAACATTCTGTTAGAATGCAAAGACATTTTTGTTAAAATTCACACATTTTTTAAGCGTCCAAATAGTTTTTGGGGCAACTGCATACTTCATCTTTTCCATTTCTCACATCTCCATCTTTGTCTCTTTCATTTCAATCCTCATCCTCACCACTCTCACCTGGTGTCATCCGCCCAGACCATGCACGTAAGATAGAGTTGATCAGATACCTGATGAGCGGGTACGTGCACGGCCAGGTGTTGGACACGCTCTCGGAGCACGCCAACGCACTGGCCTCCACAGCCGTCGCCAGCCTGGAGGAAGGGGCAGATGAGCTGTCCCACTTCCCTTTCCTCCCTGTACCCAACAGCCCCGTTCTCAGAGTGCGCAAACACAACGGTTGGTACAGAGCCTCAAAGGCCCAGAGTAGTGTAGATCGATAGCGATTGGCTCTGTGCTGTGCTTTAATGTACTGTGATTCTAGTGTCGCCCTTCATCCCCACCCGATGACAGAATCCCAGTGGACGTTCTTTTAAATGTAGATATTCCTGATCCTGAAGATAAGCTAAAAAGGCTTTTCCTTGAGCTGCTGTGTTTTTAAGTGTCACTCTCCCTTATTTTCCCTCCCTGGTTGATCTAGACTGCAACGACAGCTGCTTGGTGTTTCCTTTTGTGTTACTTTGAAAGCGTACTGCTAATTAAATCATGTTAGGTGTTTTCCATATGTTCTTTCTAGCTTCCCTCGAGAAGCTTTTTTTTTTTTTTTTTACACTTTACACAAATGACACGAGTTACACAAGTGTTTTTCTTCCGTCTCTGAGCATAAGGTTTCCTGCAGCTTTCCCCCAGCGCCATTGTCTCCCACCTAATCATACTGTAGAAATACAGCAGACGGCTGCAGGAAATGGAGTGCCGCCCTTTAGCTGCAGTTTTAGGAGCAAATCAGGCTGTATTGATTTTCCCGATGTAGTGTAGAATTTCTAGTGGCCGATTTTCCAAAGCCTACAATTATGACCCTCCTTTCTCACATTATGTGACTCATGCTCATGTTGTTGAATCTGTCACATTTGCCGTTTTTTATGGATATTTATGGAACCTGGCCTTTTTAGTAAATAAATTAGGCTTATTTTAAACACATCAGCCATATGGTACACAATATTCCAGCCCTATTAATGTTCTACTTTCCTTGCAGTGCCAGCCACCAAACTGAACACCATTACCAAGTCTAACCTGGGTCAGTGTGTGAGCAAGTATGACCTGCTGGCCTGGTTCGAGATCAGTGAACTGGAGCCCACTGGAGAGTAAGTGAACCATATTTATATCTACATGCATGCCTGAGTATTTTGTATAAATATGTTGCTATAAAGTCTGTTTGCGATTATGTAAATTGTGTGTTGTGTATTGCAGTTATATCCCAGCAGTAGTAGATCACACAGGAGGTCTTCCCTGTCATGGCACGTACCTTTTGCACCAGGTATTTATTCTTTCTATTTATGCTTTAACTAATGGGAGTATAAATATTTTCTCTTAAAATGAATGGTTTCAATTCTTTTTTTGACATTATTATCA